TGTTGAGGGGTGATTACCACTATCTAACATTCTAAGTCGATTTAAAAACATTTCTGTGTGGATTTTACTGAAAACGTTGATCAAAGGACAAAAAATGTAAATTTATGGTTTCCAAGGATACTTGATCTTAAGACGTCGCCAAACTTTGGCGGCCATTTTCTCACTAATTCTACCTTTGATATCAGGCGACCCCCACCTCCTTCAATGACTGACCTCGTCATAGATGGGTATTTTGTCATATAAAAACAAGAGAAATTAGAAGAGTTAAAGATGATTCCAGTTATTCTTTACGTCCGAAAATGGATGAGTGTCTGATCCCTCCATGCGGTCACACATAATCTGTTGAACCCCTAGACTGCTCACCACTCATGCTCCCCTCATGCCAAGGAAAGTTCCACAGTCCAGAAGACGTCACAAATTACAATCTTTAACCCTATCCGTACGCCCTGGGGTCATTTTGTACCCCAGGGGTTGTATTCTTCACATTTTAGAATACTTCTAGCGCGAAGATCTCTTTGAAACTTTCAGTATTTCTCAAAAAATAATTTTAACACACTGCTATGCAAAGCATGGGGATCAGATTAACGAGTAAATTTCCTCTTTGGAAAGTGGTGGCACAGAGTTCCCCACGTCGTATGGATACGATAGTAAAACACGACGTACGGGTAGGGTTAAGTGGTGGCACAGAGTTTCCCACGTCGTATGGATACGATAGTAAAACACGATGTACGGGTAGGGTTAAGTGGTGGCACAGAGTTCCTCACGTCATATGGATACGATTGTAAAACACGACGTACGGATAGGGTTAACGTGCAGTTGCTCACTGACTGTAAGAGACAGATTAGTGATGACTACTATCAATACAAAAAGAAAGAAAGAGACGACTCCATCTTGCTACCTCAGAATTACAACGTTTAGTTCTAACATCTTTGGCCATTTTGAGTTACTGAGACCCTCAAATCAAATGTTCTCTCTCTCTGTCATGTGGTTACTTGAGGGAGGCATTGCGCTGCCAAGAGCGAAATGCTCGCAGCTAAAGGGATTTGAAAACAACAACAACAACATGTCTCTGTAAAAATTGTAAGATTACTCGGAGTCGTTGTCAGGATTTTCAAAGAATTGCATTCGGAAAAGCTTGACTCGTTGTGAAACTCACAATTTTTTACGTCAGATCTCTCAAAAGTAGGCGCCGAGCAGATGGCAATTTGTGATTCTGGGGTTGTTGTTGTCGATCCAGGTATTTCTGGGGTAGTGTGTTGTCGATCCAGGTATTTCTGGGGTAGTGTGTTATCGATCCAGGTATTTCTGGGGTAGTGTGTTGTCGATCCAGGTATTTCTGGGGTAGTGTGTTATCGATCCAGGTATTTCTGGGGTAGTGTGTTATCGATCCAGGTATTTCTGGGGTAGTGTGTTATCGATCCAGGTATTTCTGGGGTAGTGTGTTATCGATCCAGGTATTTCTGGGGTAGTGTGTTATCGATCCAGGTATTTCTGGGGTAGTGTGTTATCGATCCAGGTATTTCTGGGGTAGTGTGTTATCGATCCAGGTATTTCTGGGGTAGTGTGTTATCGATCCAGGTATTTCTGGGGTAGTGTGTTATCGATCCAGGTATTTCTGGGGTAGTGATCCATAGACAAGCCCTAGGAAGAACCAGCCATTGTTGCACTGGGGTTTGTTGCTATTGTTGGAATTAAGGAGGCAAAAAGTAAGAACTCTGTTTCTTGATGAAGAAGGTTGATTTATTGAACATATAAGAAAATGTCTGTTTCTTGATGAAGAAGGTTGATTTATTGAACATATAAGAAAATGTCTGTTTCTTGATGAAGAAGGTTGATTTATTGAACATATAAGGAAATGTCTGTTTCTTGATGAAGAAGGTTGATTTATTGAACATATAAGGAAATGTCTGTTTCTTGATGAAGAAGGTTGATTTATTGAACATATAAGAAAATGTCTGTTTCTTGATGAAGAAGGTTGATTTATTGAACATATAAGAAAATGTCTGTTTCTTGATGAAGAAGGTTGATTTATTGAACATATAAGAAAATGGCATGAGGTCTGTCCTCTCTGGCTTCACTGACAAGACTGAATCATAATGAGCATGAGTACATGTGGTTAAAACAGGAAGGAGGAGTGAGTAAAGATCACTAAGATCAGACAATCTTTGATGTGAGGGTAGATAAAATAAAAGTACAATTACAGGGACAGAATTCAAGTTAATCATGGCAATATAGGGACCAACAATCCAGGATTGATTGTTTCCCTTCTGTATATTGATAATAAGCAATCTATTAGTCTAATGGCATTATGATGGAAACAACTTGACAGTTGAAAGTACTGTCACTGAACAAGCGCTCCAAGACCCAAAACTTGACGAGCAATCGATTCCACATTGTCATGAAACATAATATTTGTAATCTTTAAATATTATATTTGTGAATGTTCGTCCTTTTGGTCGCCTAAAACTTCCAAACCACTCAACTTTTGAATTTGAGAAAAATAATATTGGTTCAGAATCATGTAAAGGGTGCACATATATATTAAGGAGTTGGAAGTCCCTGTAGTTTAATTTTCAGTTTTTCATTAGTTTCGTTTAGATCTAATCTTGGGAAAGTCCGTCTTCTAAGACACCATTGTAAACAAGTGAGGCTTCCATTCACAAGCAGTGTGCACTGTTTCCACAATGAGTTGATGATCGATTCTTTTGAGTCGGTTCATCAACGGGTACCCAGTTAGTATTTAGTAATTTTTAAAAATGTATTTTTGTTTTTGTCGTATGTAGATACAGACTTACTGTTACCAAAATTTGAAGAGCAACTGATTCAACAATAGTATGCCTCATATGTAATATTCTTACAATTTTCTTTCTTTCTTTCTTTTTTTTTCTCCGCTGTAGATACAGACTTGCGGTGGCGTGGTCAGGCGCTGAGTGGGCCGGGGAACCTTGTGCTGACCAACGTGGGGCCCAAGGACGAAGGGATCTACGAGTGTGTGCTGTTCAGCCGAGGCCTCACCAAAACGGCTGCAGCAAAGCTCACAGTTCAAGGTCAGACTCTGCTGGGTTTTTTTTTAATTTAAAAAAAAATAAATTTTTTTTTACCCTGCCAGTATGGTCGTTGTACTGGCGTCTGTTGTGTGGTGGCTAGGAGCTTTGCCGTTGCCTGCAGAAGTCTTGAGTATCACGCTCATGACTGTGCTTGAACTGCAACAGGGAACTGCTGCTTTTTCTTTCCTCATCCTTACTATTGTAATTTTTTCCTCTACTTCTTTTGTATGTTTGTCACTCTCTTTTGACCCGCTATTTCCGGGGTGCCTTGGTAGTCGAAGCAGACTTTGTGCTGTTGAAGCTAGAGAGGTGAGCAGAATAAGTCTGATTCCCTGTAAGGTCTTCTCTGTTGAAATCCACCCCTTGGCGCTCATATGACCTGATTTCAGTTTCGAGCGCCGTAAAACCTCTACTAAAAAGAAAAGACTTGAGTATAAGCATAATATATGATTGGTGTGTACCCTTCAGCAAGACATGATAACCCTAGCTCAAAAATAAAATTTAAAAACCAACAAAAAAACCCCCAAACAAACCCGGACATTGCTCAGAGGCGACTGGCAATGGCACGCTTTGTCTGCTGTGGTGGGACATTGTGTGTCTTGTCTTCTTTGTGTGTTTATTTATGTGTTTATTTATGTGTTTGTTTATGTGTTTATTTATGTGTTTATTTATGTACTTATGTATGTCTGCCTTTGTAACCCAAATTTCCCCCCATTGAGATCAATGAAATGTTGTTTATTTATTTATGTATCCATTTGTTTGTTTATTTGTTTGTTAATTTATCTATTTATTTACTTTTTTAAATTCGTTTATTTATTTGTTTATGTATCCATTTATTTATTTATTTACTTGTTTATTCGTTTCTTTATTTATTTGTGGGTGGTTGGCTGGTGCTGTGATGTGGCTTGCTTCTTCTTTCCCATCAAACATCTATCATCTTTATATATCCACTCTCTTGTAACACGGCTAATCCTCTGGCGCTCATATGACCTTATGCAGTTGCTTGCGCCGTAAAAACCTCTACTAAAAGTAAAACTTTAAAAATTATTTATTTATCTATTCATTTATTGATTTATTTGTTTATCTATTTAATTGTTAATTCGTTTTTATATGTTTATTTGTTTATTTATTTATTTATTTATTTATCTAATTTTAAAAATTTATTTATGTATTTGTTTATTTATTTATTTATTTGTTTAATAATTTGTGTATTCCTGACTCGTCCAGTGGCGCCCAAGTTGGAGCAGGGCCTAGAGTCGTACTCCTTCCCCGTGACCAAAGTGATGACCACCGCATGCCTGGTGTCCGGCAGCCCCGCCCCCAACATCAGCTGGTACCTCAACGGGGAGCTCATCGAGAAGACAGGCCTGTATACCGAGGTAGGTGCTTTGGGAGGCCGGCTGCGCTTGCGTGTGGGTGTAGGTAATGGGGAGCCCTCTCACGGAACACAACACTACCACATTAAAAAAAACCAACACTTCGAAATAACAAATGCGAAACTCTTTACCGTAGGTGCTGGATGCTTTAATGTTCAACAAGTGTAGTGCATAGTAGATTTCCCGCAAAGTGGGCAGACTTTGGCTCTGTCCCTTCCTCTTCTCTGTCTGTCGTCCGACTGTCCCTTTCACAAGCCGTGGGTAACCCATTATATATATAAGCCCCAGCACTCGACCCCCGCGCCCCGCCCGAGCCCCCTGCGCCCAGAGTAAATCTCGATAATTGTGGTGAAAAGTGGCCAAGTATCCACAATTCAAAGGCCCAGCCGGTGGGATCAAGGGTCGCTTGTCCGATTGGCAAGCAGTGGTCAAAACTTCACACTTCTCAATTGTTCTCCTGTCTGATAGTGACATGCGTCAGTCTTACTTATCCAATTACCACCAGTGCTTGCCTTTCATAGGACCACTGTTTGACCTATTAAAAACAGAAACGTTTGAACATCTCCTTTGCCTCCCCCCTTAGCCCCACCCTCCAATGCCACCCCTCACTGCCATCGTGTAATAACGATTCGAGGAACTCTTTTCTCGGCTGGCCGTACGATCTGGGCAGCTGGCATTGGTCAAACTAATTTCACACCTTTGGCTTCTGGCTACCCAGGAAAGTTTCCGTAGTGGCTCGCTACTCTAGCACTCCCACGGGCAGTCGTGAGATTTCACACCCACACTCCACTGACCATCTGCATCGCTCAGGGCTCATATGATGGGGTAACATCTACCCCCAAATTGCACCCCTAGATCTACTCCTCTTCTTCGCCCAGCGGCATGACCATAGCGTTAAGTTTAGAGCCGGCAGAACCAAACTTGCGAGTTTTGTTTCAAATCAGGGCTGAGCGGGCAAAGCATTTTCCGTCTTAAACAGGTGAAACCCTCGGAAGGGAGTGGATTTTTCATTCCGTTTCCGCGTTGGACAGGTTTCTGTTTTATACAGGTAATTAAAGAGGAATGTATCAAGGGGGGAGCGGGGAGATTCCGTTAAGACAGGTTTCCGTTTTACACAGCTTTCCGTTAAGGCAGGTTCGACTGTATGTGACTCGCTAGTAACACCTCTAACCTTCTGCCCTTGAGTGACCTATTTTTGTTGCCAGTGCTGTGAACGTGTCAATAAACAGTGGGTGGTAGCGGGTGCTTGGGTGAGGTTTTCTCCTTCCTTCTTATCAAACATCCATGATCCTCATCTCTCCTCTTTTTCTTTGTCTATCACTCTCTGGTAAGACCTTTGAACTTCAACTCTTTTATTTACCTATTTCTGTTGCAAGTGCCAAAAGACTCATCAATTAAAACGGGTGCTCTGGTGTGGTTTGCTTCTTCTTTCCTATCAAACATCTATCGTCTTTATCTCCCCTCCTTTTTTTTTTTGTTTGTTACTCCCTTGTAACACCTCTAAATCTTCGGCGCTTATATGACCTTATTGTATTGCAAGCGCCTCCCCAGACATCGCAAATACTCTATACAGCGACAAAGCACAGCTGATTAAAACCTGTAAATTCTTTGCCATATCAACAGACCGAAGGGCTAGAACCCAGATGGCAGCTGGATCGGAAAAGTAAAAGCAAAGTCAAGTATTGCAAGCGCTGTAAAACTCTTACGAAAAAAACCCAACTCAACAAAAAATTTAAAAAATTGAATAAAAAACTAAGCAAGACTTGTTTGTTTCTGTCCCCAGCGCATCAAGAAGACGGGCGGGGAGAGCATGATCCTGTACACACTGCAGAAGAAACACTCGGGCTTCTACCAGTGTGTGGCCGAGAACGGCGTGGACCAGGTCATGTCGGTGGCCTTCTTACAGGTCTCCCAGAAGGGTGAGTACAGCTGGCTCCGGGCCGCACGCCTCCTC